AGGAACTAGAACAGAAATGACTATATTAAATCCCACAGTTTATGCAAATATTGTCACACTTGGAAACTACAGAAAACCCATATTAGAAAAAACAGCTCCCAATTTACTCGTACCTAAGGAAATTCTTACTTAAAGAAATGTCATTATAAATAATTTAGTGCAATTCTAAACCATCCAAGCAGGAGCATCATTTGCACACAAAACCTGCATAAGCACGTGACTTAAATGTGGACAGCCACTTTTTTTACATAACTTGACATCATTTCAATTCTCTCTCTGTTAGACATAGCTTCTTGATATTGGCTTAATGTTATTCTTCAGCAATGAGGCTTTTGCAATGACTTGCAAGTCAGAGCCTTTAAAAGTGAATATAGTAACCGTTTTGGCATAAAACGGGGCTTTGGGATGTAAGTGGCTGCTATTGCCGTAGGCACCTTAAGCTCCGTCCTGCAGCAGAGCCCTGGGACCCTGCGTCAGCAAAACGCTTAGGCCACGCTCCTCCTTAAGCAGCTCTGCGTAGGACCTACGCTTTCTTCACGTTTCACATGTTAGTTGTAATTTCCAAAGCATTGTTTAAGCAGGGTAAACCAAGCAGAGGCTGAAAACGCTTGATAATATATTGTGAAGAAAGAAAAGATACTAGAAAACTCACTGTTTATCTTGGAAGAACTAATTACAGTACATTAGTCTAGTTTAATTACTATGGTAATTTAAGTGACTTGTGTATTTTTGCTGTAATTATAGTGACACTTAAGCTGCAAATCCTGGAGAAAAAATAAATAAATAGTGCCTTATTGAAGCAGCTGTTAAAGCAATTATTGTGGAGATATCGTTAGAGAGCAGTGCAATTTAATCAGTGTAGCTTTTAACTAGTATTTCAGTCTAGTATTTTTCTGTAATGATTCACAGTGTGTGTGCACAGTTGCAAAGGAGTTCTTCTAAGAAATCAGCCCGGTAATGCATTTCCTCCGGTCGCGTAGCACAGAGCAGCGACGCACGCCTCCGAGAAAGGCACAGAGCCCTCAGCTGAGCAATTAGGAGGCATCAGTTCCTCCTGCTCCACTTTTCTTTTTTCTTCTTTGGCCTAACGACTGTTTTGGTACCTTTTCAGGTATTTTGTAGCAATGGCTAAGGCTTTACTTAAGAAAATGAACGATTTTTTTTTTTTTTTCCCCTGTTCTCACGCTTTGGTCTCTACTTTGGGGAAGAGGAATATGGCTCTGGCGGAGAAACCCTGGAAAGGTGGCTGACCCCTGGTCTGAGTGTCTGTTGCTTATGAGAAAACCAAATGAGATCAGCCCAAAGGTTAGCTAATGCCAGGAGGTGTCACGTCAGTTGTTTTTTTTCTTAGCTATGAGGCCCTTCACCTGCTCAGAGCAAAAAAAACATCTGGTTTGATATGGTTCCTTCTAGACAAACCCCCATGATGGCCATTTGATACCAATTTAATATATATATATATATATTTAAATAATTACAAATGCATGGCTTATTTTTTTTCCAGTAACTTTTTGGCAACTGAAGTTATGCTGACAGCTCTTGTATTCCTGGCACCTCCATTTTCCCCCCTTCTTATCTTCTTGGTCTGAGTTTTGTTAAGATTATTTTCAGCTGTTGCTGCAAACATGCAGGTACTGTAATAAAGGAATTACATGGCCTGGACCACATCACATAACCCTTTTAAAAAAAAAAAAAAAAAAAAAAGGTGCAAGCTTGCCTACGTTCCTATTTTCCCACCTAGTAATTAGCCTTAATTGGAAATCTCTATTTTAGCACCTCCTGTTTTATCAGTTCTCTTTCTAACCACAGGTCGGTTGACACTTACTTCTTGGTTGCTGCGTACGTGAATCACAGTGAATCCCAACCCAAAACGCATCTGGGCGCCCTGTGGGCCTGCTGGTGTTCACAAGAGCAACACAACCCCGCTTTGCTATCAAACCGAAAGCCACTGGGCTCGTTGGCAGAGACGACTCTTGCGTGACGACGTTTTAAACTATTTCAGTTCTCACGTAACTGGTCTCTTTGTCGGTTTTCACTGCCAGGGCTTTGCAGAGCGTCACGAAGGAGCGCGGCATCATCATCACCCGGTCAACTTACCCCAGCAGCGGCCGGTGGGCAGGGCACTGGCTCGGGGATAACACCGCGGCTTGGGATCAGCTCACTAAATCTATTATCGGTGTGTAGAAGGAAAAGGCTCTGCCATCAGTTTATGCTCTGCAGTCATTTCTTCTCCTTGATTTACTTGCTTTTAAGAGTCATGTGGTTTTAGCTGCAATAGGCTAGTTTGTTTAGCGATCACAATTCAGGCTCAGTTCCTTCTCCACCTTTTCTTCTTACTGCTGCCTAAGAAGCTCCTCGCGTTTTCTGTGACCGCGGGCTGCTAGTTGGGCTCGGTTGCGGTGGTGCTGGGCGCTCTGATTCGCCCTGGGACCAGCCGCCTTTCAGCCACGGGCTCCTGCCGCTTGTTTCACGGCACCTGCTGGGCTCCCGGCTTGGTCTGCTTCGACAGACCAGCTCCCTGGTGCTCCTGTGGAAGAAAAATGTGACATATGGGAGAAACTGGGCATTTTTTTTTTCTTTTTCGGCATTGGAATATGTGTTATCTATGCAACCATTAAGTATACCAAAGGGGGAAAAAAAAGTTGTTAACGTTGAATTACTTTTTTCTTGCAGGTATGATGGAGTTCAGTCTCTTTGGAATATCTTATGTAAGCTAATGAGTTATTACCTATATTTAATTATCCTTACAGCATACAAGAATCTATAGTACTCCAACTGGATGTTTTTTTCTTCCTCCCCCCGTTTCCAGACCGGAGCAGACATCTGTGGCTTCTTCCAGGACTCGCAGTATGAGCTGTGCCTTCGCTGGATGCAGCTGGGTGCATTTTACCCATACTCCAGGAATCACAACCAGAAGGGGACAAGGGTGAGGCACAGCTGGGTTAACGGGTGGGCTCCGTGCGGACCAGCCAGAACAACCCCCCAGCACAGCTGCCTCCAAAAAAAAGTACAGTCCAAACAAAACGGTCGTGAAGAGAACACACCTGGTTACTATCAGACAAATAACACTTACAGGCTAGCCCTCCTGCAAGCCCGCTCTGCCACTCAGACCGCTTCCAGTAAGCATATTCCACGCTTGCTCCCACCGATTCCAGCTCCTGCACGTCTCCCCTACGTGCCGTTCCTCTTCAAACGCCCAGCACCAACAAGAAGTGCTAAAACAGCAAGCTGCCAAGGCAGCGCACGCCGAAAGGCACGAGGCTGACCTCAGTGCTCTCATCCCTACTCGTTCCCAATTGTACGGCGAATCGGCCAATTTTTTTAGCGTAGTAAGATTCGCGAGCGAGTGCCTCAAATTTCTGTGCTCTGCACATCTGCCACCATCAGATATCGTATTTCTTTTAAGAATAAAGGAAAATAATTGCCTAAATGCAGGGCTGTGCTGGCTAAGGACTATATTATAGAAAGCTGTAAAACAAGATAACTAGAAAAATAAAAAAAATTGAAACAGCACTTATACTCCAGTTAGAGCTTCAGGTCTAGCAGAGTAGAGCTATTTATATGGCATATATCTAATGGATTAAAGTCTCCTTTTAAAAAACAGTGTGCTTTATCTTGCAGCAGCACACCTTTCGATAGGACTTTTAAAGCCTTTAAAAATGCAGATTCAGGGTTATCATGTTGCTTCCAGTCTTACCCAATTTGCCAAGGTATTGTTCAATACATTTAATAAAGACTGGAAGTGCTCCCTGACATCAGTCATTAGTGCTTCGCTCTCTTTTCGCAAGTCCTGAGTGCTGCCCTGCAGAAAAGGAGGATAATAAATTATGTACACCCAAATGTGTCACGCCTTCAGTAGAGTTTGCATTAAACATTTTTTTTTTTTTTTTACAATACTCCCCCTAGGTTTTTCTCACCCTCCTCCTTTCTAGTTCCCCTGCTTAGAGCTGACAGTGACACCTACTGTTTCCACTGTCGCTTAGTCCTTAATTAAGAAATAAGTAAAGGTGCTCTTGGAGGACAGGGAGTTTGCAAGAGTCTACCGAGATTTCCTCAGCAACGTTCTCTTATGCTGAGTTTGATGCACGTTTGATAATTACTACTACTAACAGCTTATATGAATTTATGAGCAAAATATGAAATGGAAAAAAACCCGCTAAACTTGAAGTTTATTGTAAACTAGCAAATTCTCAGACCCTTTTTTTCCAGCTCTTCAAACGAAATAATCCAGCGTGAGTAGCAACGGTCTCCTCTCTTTTAGAGGCAAGATCCTGTTTCCTGGAACTCGACGTTTGAACAGATTTCCAAGCACGTGCTGAATATAAGATATACCCTGTTACCCTATTTCTACACATTAATGTATGAAGCCCATGCCCATGGAAGCACTGTGATCCGCCCTGTCCTCCATGAGTAAGTGCGATTCCTTTGTTCTCCGTTCATCAGGAATTTCCACTAAATTTTCATAAAATTTCCATAATTAGGAAAATTATAAAAGTTCTAAGTAATGGAAGACTTTATGAATACACCAATTTGCATGAGATAGTGAAAGCTCATATCCTCAACCAAGTCACGCTTTTAAAGCACTAGCGCTCCATTGCATACTACGCAAAACCGAGCATTTGTTATCTAGGATTAATGTATAAATTTTAAAGTTCATCTTTAGCCTCTTCAGAGGTGAGCAACAATGAAGTGCTACCTGATGTTGAAGATGTACAGAGTCAAAAAGTAAATGTTGCAAAAGTAGCAGAAATAAAAATGAGGAAAGAGTAGATCCAGTTACTGACCAGAAGTCTTAAATAAGTTTGGAAAAGGTTAACAATCAATGTCTAATAATTCTTTTGTTACCTTGCAGGTTTGTGGAAGACAGAACAACGTGGGACGTATATAAACAGTTTCTCTGGGGACCTGCCCTGCTCATAAGCCCTGTACTGGAGCCAGTAAGTCGTTAAATACTTAAGGGTATAGGAAAATATTAGAAGTCACTTTTGCTAAATTTCACTTTTTGCTTTAATATACCTGAAACATATGTCTTTCATTCCAGAATGCTGTAACAGTGAATGCTTACTTTCCCAATGCCCGCTGGTATGATTACCACACCGTAAGTCATCTAAAAAATTCTATATTATTTATGTTCTTCCCAGCGCTGTTTAGATGACAGCAGGGTGTGCTGCTGCGAGTGGTGGTGAAGCGAGAACCCACTTTCTCTATTTTACAAACGTGTGTCCGGTAGGAGCTCTTTCAGTGCTGCAACAATCGCATCATCTTAGCTGGTTTCTTTAAAAAGCCATTGGTTCCTTTTAATGTAATAATGTTTAACACGGCCAAAGTGATTGTAAATTAAAAGGTGGCATAATACCTTTAATTCAAAGTGCTTACATTGACTTCTGTCACCCTCGAATGATATACAATACTGTCTTTGCTAAGAATGCTGGAGTGGAAGAAGACAAACCACTCGGAGCTGCATCAGCCTTTCACAGAAACCAAGAAAAGACTTGGAAGAAGGAAGAGCAGGCATCCAACGTCACTTAATTCATCACTAGTTAACATTTCACCTGGTTGATCCCTTTGGTTGAGCCGCAGTCAGCTAGGGTCAGGTCATTCTTTTATAGATGCAGAATTTCACATTTTGTCTTAAAAGTATGCAGTTACTCCTGCATCAAAAAAGGATTTGCAGTAACATCTCCCTTTCATAAAGGAATTAATTAGTCCAGCAAAAAATCGTGAATATATTCTTAACTTGATGGGTATGTCATTATAAAAAATGTAAAATCAGAGCAATTCAATAGAAGGGTTATTTTTTATTTTATTTTTTCATAACTAGAATGAACTTATTGGCTTCAGGGGACAATTTGGAATTTTATCAGCTCCTTTGGAACACATCAACCTTCATATTCGAGGAGGCTACATCCTTGCCTGGCAAAATCCTGCTAACACAACTTTTTACAGGTATGAAAAAATTAACTGAAAAATTAAAATTCAACTGTTTTCTTGTTTTCTTGTGTTTTTTTTTTTTAATGGTAGGACTTTAATTACTGGTATGGAGAATAAACTGCATAATAATTTTATGGTGACAGCATTGTTCTGGACTCCTAGGTTCAACTTATGAAAAGTAAAATTTTCTGGTTCAGTGTACACCATGCTCCAAAGTATCTCCCATTTCATATAAATACTAGCAGTCGTGAGAGAAGCTCTGTGTGTGATAGCATCTTAGCTTTCCTTTTTTTTGGCTTCTTTTAAATTTAATACTACAGATTGAGGAAGACTAGTGTCAGAGAGAAACTGAGCTGCAAATAGTATTTGTAAAATAAATCATAATATCTGATAAAGATAAAATGTGATTACCTGAGGAAATTAAGGAAAAATTAATCTGCTTTTTTTGCAGTCGAAAAAATCCAATGGGACTTACTGTTGCTTTGAATGACAGTCAGCTTGCACACGGACAGCTTTATTGGGATGATGGGGTTCGCATTAGTAAGTGACATGGATGTTTCTTGCTTTCATAAAACACTTTTTTGTTGTGAGGGTGGTTGAACCCTGGCACAGGTTGCCCAGAATGGTCATGGAGTCTCCATCCTTGGAGATATTCAACATCCAGGACACGGTCCTGGGCACCCTGCTCTAGGTGGCCTTTGAAAGGGGGGTTGGACCAGGCAATCTGCAGAGGCCCCTTCTGACCTCAGGGATTCTGTGCTTTTCCCGCCCCCCTCTCCCCCCGAAGATTCAATCTTTGGTTTCAGTCTGCTTTTCCTGGATGCAACGGCTGTTCTCGTGAGGGTTCTTCGAGCCCTGCAGCTATCCTGTAGTCAGCGGTGGTACATTGACACTCAAAAGAAACAGTCTGATTTTAAAACCTGCAAATCAAAACAAAGAAAACAAGACCAGGAGCTGGAAAGAGATGACACAAATTACAGCGGTTCATGAAAGACAAATAATGCTAAATAGCTAATTAAGGAACTTTCCGATTGCTCCACTTTTTGCCCTTGTAATAACATATTTGTCAATGTGGAAACTCCAAGCTGTAAGAAACCACATCATTAGTTAGCCATCACTTTGGGGAGGAGGGTTGTTGCTTCTCTGTTAGAAGTCCCCAAGGTAGTGAGAGATGTTTGATCAGGAATGTCAGGAGCAGGTAGAAATCATGGACTCTGCTGGCCAAAGCAGTCACATTTCTGGAGGAAGTGTCTGAACAGGCCTTCAAATACAAAATTCAAATTAAACCTTCAAGTTAACATTGTATTGAAATGATTTTTCCTGATTTAAACCACATAATGTTATTTATAGAATTCGTATTTTGTATAAATCAAATTGTGCCCTGGACCTGGGACAATGTATATAATAAAGATTGATTATATGGAAAGCTTTAACTCTTTTCCTCAGCTTTAATAAATTCGGAATGTCTTCAGGTAAGAGACACTTAGAGGTCTCTTATCCTTTAGATCCAGACTGGATTATCCTTGTAATAACTATAAACTACCACCTGAGATTACCAAAAGTAATGCATGAAATTATGTTGTTTAGCATAAGGATGTGTAGGGAAGTTTCCAGGATGCTTTTAGTGTATTTTTGAGGTGCTTCACATGCATCACGGCCTGTTATCACTGGAATTTGGAAATGACAGCAACGTTTATGGAAGTTCAGTGATAAATGAAATTAGCATAGATTACAAGGTACTCTTCACCAGAACCTCTGTGATCTGTTTTCTACAGCGCACAGAGGCCAGAAGCTACAATGCCTCTGGTTATCAGCACTACTTGGAGTTCATTTAGTACTGAATAATGGGATTGATAAAATATACAACAGTGATTTCAAAGAAGCCTCATCACCTATCATGATAATGCGTAATTGGCTGATGAACAGTACTGGATGGGGGAAATCACTCCCATGACTTCTTCAGTGAGAAACATTTTTCTCTTGCTAATCTTAGCATCCTTGATCTTCCTAATGCTGTTTGCTTGCCTTCTTCTGTAACTTGCCTCTAAAACTTTCTTAGAGCCCTTGTTCTCACATAAATAGCGTACAGCCCAACGGGAATGCATTTTATGTCTAAAAGCAGGTCTTATGAAAATGCAGAATTGTGTTCTATTTGTGTATATGTGTGTATATATATATACACACACACCCCATATGTATATAGTGTATTGACACAATTCTTGGATAGAAATGTTAAAAATATATTAACTGAGGCAAATAGCAAATACATATTACTTTATTCTTTCTTTTTAATAGATGCCTATGAAGATGGTGCATATTTGCTAACATCATTTACTGCTAACCAGGTACGCAACGTTAACTCATAGTTTTTGAATAATCACTTTGAGTAGCTATTGTTGTATTTTTAGCTATAGGTATTTTAATTTTGGATTTTTTAATGTTTAGATATCCTACCCTAACATGAATTCCTGGTGATAGGCCAGTTCTTAATCAGGTGCATGAAGACTGCTGTGGGGCTATAACTGTTGATTTAAAAATGCCTTTGGGATTGCAATCACATATATATTAGCATATACTAGAAGAACAAACTCATTTTGCATTATTCATATTGGTATATATCAGGGCAACTTAATTTACTTTAGTGGGGTTATTCCACAGCGGTGCATGTTCGCGTTAAGTGGTTGGCCCAGAACGAAACCTCCAAGGCAGGTGTTCAGACTCTCTACGTGGATGCAGGCTTCTAATATGAGAGTAGATCTGTAGCTTGACAGCCAACTGACAAGAATCTTAGGCATTTACACTTGCCACTTTTTCTAGTACATATGAAGGAACTGAGGAGGAGTGTTTTGTGTTCGTGATTGAATAAAATGTAACTAATACGACTGCATTAAGAACAAATTCAAAAATGGTTCCAAAAATATCTATTTTAGCATATTGTTAAAAAAGGTATATATTTATGCTATTATTTCTGACACAATTCTGAAAATACAAGTATATTTCATAAATAATTTGTATAAAGTGAGAGCACGTATCAATGCAGAAATCAGATAAATATAAGGCTAATGGTATTATTTTGCCAGCTGCATATTCAGTGTCACTTTTGTAGATAATTTACTAGCATCTGTTTAAATGAGTGCATTCTAGGTCATCAGCTTATGCATGTTTTGAAGCTATGGATTTAAACAAATACATGTCACAAAGTTTACTGCTACAGACTAGAAAAAGATTAATATATTAAAGATAAATATATCTGGCCGGTGACTACAGCCACAGCTAGAGCCAGGAAAGTTCTTTTAAGCGTCCAAAGAAAAGTGAGCAAACGGTCTTAGCGTCCACGTTACCTCTGGCGTGCAGAGCTAGACGAGAACAGCCGCGCCAGGAAAGCCAACCCTTGCGGAGTGAGGAGGAAACTCAAGGCAACACATAGCATAGTGTAACACATAGCAAGGGACTGCTTGTGTCCCTGGCTTACAGCTACCGAGAGGCAGCTGCAGGAGGCAAAGCAGCTGGTCTTGGGATTTTTCTTAAGGACAGGCTCTTAAAATTTCTTCTTTTAAAACGCAGAAGCTTAAACAAAGAGTAGCTAGTCAGGTACCCAGCTGTGCTTGGAAATACTCAGGCCGGCTCCCTGCCAGGCCTGGTGGTCCTCGTTGTTCTCCATTGTGCTCTTCTCCCCCGTCACTGCTCAGAAAAGTTCACAGGGCCAAAACAAGAGGTACTTGGGTTTGTAGTTCGTTTGCCCCAATTCACTGCAGTGCTTATTTATTTTATGCAATTATTTTCAATTAAGAACATAAATATTAGTTTTGGGAGGAGGAAGGGGAATACGTGGCCACAGCAGAAATCACTTTCTAGAAGTACAAGGAGGAGGGAACTGTACCTGCTCCAGGAGAGTCCTACTCATACTGTCACATCCATCACAAACTAAGCGAAGGATTATGGGTTATCAACCTGAATTCCTGTTCTTCAGGCAGTCTAGAACATGTACAATGAAGTCCAAGAACAGCAGTGTTTATTATAAGTACTGGTGTTTCTAAGATGTCAGTTTTTAATTTTTTAGTATGATGAGTTGAATATTCAGAATCAAATTAGACTATAATTACATGGACTATCAATTTAAGAGATGCTTTTTATATTGTAATAGGAAATATACTTTGTTTCTTTAGTTTTCCAGGGCGCCATAACGTGTTATTTTATCCCCTTTCTTCTTTTTTAATTTTGTCTTTGTCAAATAATTGGATGTTAATTGCTGAGGAAGAGAAGCTTGTTTTGCTAATACTCACTATGAGCAGTTGCAAGGAGATTATAAAATAAATACATGGTTTTTTCCTGCTCTTACAGAAAGCTGGTAAGGAAAAGCCTAATTAAAGAGGTCCTGAATCAACCAATAATGGAAAAAAGTGCACACTAAAATAAATACCCTCACTACTAGTGCATTAAATATGCATAATTATATTGTATCACATTTCCATGGAAGCAAAAATGGGATCTGAACCAGCAAATACCCTGCCAGGCAACTGGCATGACATTGTCCTGTAGACCTAGTACAATTGGGTACAACCTGAAGAAACTGTGTGCCCAGAATCAACCCAAAATCACAACTCATCCACCAAATGCTTCTCCCAATTCACACTTATGTGACCTCGCTATGAGGTTTGCAGTCCCTCATAAATTTTTTTTGCATCAGTAAAAGACAATTAGACAAAAATGCAGTAAAACGACATCCGAACAGCTCAGAAATGCAAGCCCTAAGCCACTGTCATCTTGTATCTGCTGACATACAACCCTCTCCCCTTCCCTGACCTTTCCCTCCCAGGTCCCAACTACCCCAAGAGACACGTTTCTATTAGGGAATTAGTGACCCTCCTACAGGGCTTGAGCCCGAGCAGAGAAGTATTTCCACAGGATCTGGCAGCTTTGGAAGCAACGCGGAAATAAGAGTCGGTTCAGAAAAAATGGAGGCTTGTGGCATCATGAAAAACTGTCTTTTAATCCTTTCCTACGCGGCAAAATTCACAACAGATAAACGCGTGCAGGGACTCAGCACTCTGCCGGCAGCAGAGGAGTCTGCACACAACTGAGAGGGGACCTGGGAGGGCAAGGGAAGACACACGCGGGGATATGTATGTTCCTCCCCAGGGAGCAATGGAGACCATGCATCGCCCGAGTGTCAGGCAAAGACCTAGCAGAGCCCAGGGTCCAGCCAGGTTACCAATGGAAAGGCAATCGAAGTCTTCAACGTTTGTCAAATGAATAACATACAGATATTGTTTTTTTTAAAAAAAAAAAAAAAAGAGAGAGGAGAAAAGTGCAAGGCTCAAGTGGGCTGGAAAAAGGTTACTCTGACACATAATGGCCTCATGACAATCTCCGACTGCTTTTTTTTTTTTTTTCCCTTTTCTTGTCCTTTCAGAACGTTTTGGAGATCAGCGTCGTGCACCACGGGTACGCTGACCCAAACAACTTAATGTTTACTGAAATCAGAATCCTGGGAGTGAGCACAAGCGCCCAGCAGGTGACGGTAGCGCAGAACGGGGAAGCGATCACCTCCGCGCACAGCGTGGCCTACAACAGCACAAGCCAGGTGAGCCAGACAAGAGGCCTTGGCTGTCCCCATCCCGACACGCGCGATCCGACGCCTTTGGGCGTCCAGACCGCAGCTGCAATGCAAATACGTTTCTTTACTGCAGTAAAACCAGTGACATAGTAGAGGTGAGAACTCAAACGACCCAAAAGGCAGGGCACTTGGGCAGTACAGACTTCCCCGTACAGGAGCAGTGAAGCCTTGCCACCAGTCCTGGCAGTGATCAGTGAGACACATGAGCTACAGGCAGTCAACGTTTATAGCAAACGCTGCACAAGCTAACATGGCGAATATACAGCGGGTAGTGTGCAGTATGCGCAGCAGAGCATCTCATTGTAGAAATTACTGCGGAGGAACCCAAACCTTCCCTGACTGTGAAAAACCAGTGCATTTTGTTTCTTGCTTGGCTTTCGCTCTTCCTAATAGCTCACTAGCAACCAGTGGGACATGATGGAAGGAAAAGCTACTACAAGTGTTTTCTTAGTCTCTACGTGACCCTGTTGTTGTCCATCTTGTTTGACAACTTTTCATTTCCCAGTCCTATTGGCAGACCACCATTTCACCATTTCTTCTTCTGTTGTGTCACGTTTGGGCTGTAGGCAATTCAGCACAGGCGTACTACTTGCAGCCGTCAAACGCTAGTTCTTCTGCACTTACTGGCAAAGCTTGCAGTAAGGTCAGCGCGCCAGGGTTTCAGTCCACGTGGTCCATGTTTGTCCCGTGCGTTTCCCAGCGTTTTGCTTTGTGCTCTGTCACATGTGGGTCCTGAGGGATGTAGTGCTGTCAGCTTTCTGGCAGTGAGACAGCCTCATCTCACCTCATGATCTGAAATCCAAAATCTACGTCACTTAAGTTCACAGAGGCACCACCACCAGGGAAAGA